ATATATAAATAAGAGCAATCTGTTCACAGAGAGGCTCCACTGATGAGCTCTGATGAGCACAGATGAGAGAAGAAGGAGGCAGGGCCCATGCAGAAGGCCCAATAGGACGAGGGCCGTCCCTATCAGAAGAGCGGTGAGAGGCTGAAGGTTAGAATACAATGAGGCTGGAAAAATGCTGAAGGTAATCAAAATGGCCCTTTTAGTTCTTTTGGGGCCAAGGAGTTGTCAAAGGAAGCGGCAGACCCACTGCTCAGAGGCAATGGTGAAAAAACGCTAAAGCATTTTCTAATTCTCTCCTGCTTCTTTTGTCTGCAACTGGGAGAAGAGTCTTCAACTGGAAATGGTAAAACAAACAAACTAAAGAACAGGAGCTGATGCCTGTGATAAGAAAAAGAATGGCCATTAGTGCCATTATCCATTTTATGCCAAGCCATTACCTGTGTTCTAATCAAATGCTAATAATAACTTATCTCTTAGATTGCAGTAGGAGAAAATATAGTAAAAGTAGCAAATCTATATTTTAGCAAGTCATTGGAGAAAGGCCCTAATGAATTCCCTGAGGATAAAGTGGGGAAATGTATGGTGGATGATGGTAAGGTGAAGTGGTTTCACGATTGATTGAACAACCCAATTTGTTGTCAGAGGACCCAGGTTTGCAAGTGGATATACCACTTATCAGATGAGGGACCTTGCTCCCATTATTTAAACTCCCTGAACTACAGTTTATTATCTGCAAAATAAAGATATTACTTACCTCAGAAGGTAATCATAAGGATTAAGTTAAATTACGTATATTAAAGTCATTCTGTAAACTATAATGAACTACATGACAATAACTACTATTGATATCAATTAATATTACCAGTAGAGAGTTACAAAGCTTTGATCTTTACCCTATTTTCATCAACATTTTATCAAAGATGTGGATGAAGACAGAAGAAACACCCTTATTAGAATTTCGAGTGAAACAGAGTTGGTGGTGAAAGTTAGTATGTTTGATGAGTCTTAATAATTCAGAGTTTAGGCTAGAGCTAGGACAGTCATAATGATTTTGGCAGGCTGGAATACTAGACAAAACGAACAGGAAAAAAATTTAGCAAGAATGAACTTTTATATCTGTGTTTGGCTAAAAGCAAAATTCCACAAGGACAGAATGAGGAAGCCATTCACGTGAAGGAGGTTCTGGGAGATTTGCTCAACCTCCAGCCCAGTCTGAAAGAGCTATGTTAGGTGGCTCCAGAAAAAGGCAACAGGATTACAGGTTGTGTTTATAAAAGTAGAGGCCACAGCATAGTACTCTTCCTGGGCCAGTAGTCATCCAGAGTCATTTGCCTAATTCTAGAGAGGATATATAGAGGGCAAGCAAGATGTCCAGGTGTCTAGTAAGTGACAAATGGCTGAAGGAATAGATTAGAAGTACCTGGAAAGAGAAGAATAAATAGTGGTACTAATAATTACAGTCACAACCATCACAGCAATAGCTAATACTTGATGGGTACTTATATGTTAGTATTGTCCTTTACCTACATTATCTCATTTAATCCTCTCAACAACCTTGTGAGGTTATCATTATCCCTGCTTCCCCATTTTATAGATGTAAAACAGACTTGAGGATAAATGGCTCACTGAAGGTTATAGAGCTGGTAAATGAGGGAGCATATATTTTGACTCAGGCAGCTTATATTTGGACTCAGGCATTCTTATCCAGAACAGGCACTTTTAGAGAACTTGCTAAGCTACTTTGTAAGAGTTGGGGAAAGTAAGATAGCTAACAAAATATTTGAAGGACTATCATGTGGGAGAGGGATCAGCTCTTTGTTATATAGTTCTAGAAGGTAGTGTTAGTGCCAGGAAGTGTAAATTTCTAGAAGGGAGATTTAGTCTAATTGTTAGGAAGAAGAGTCTGACTGTTAGAGACTATGGAATGGGTTGAATTGCAGTTTATTTGTCCAGCCACTTGCCGAGCAGAGGTTGGATGGCCCCTCTTAGGCTTTCCCTTAATGCTATGAGATTGCCCAGGTAACCTCAACTCCTTCAAGATCCTCTAATTGCATTAGACTTGTTCTTGCCCAAATGTATTAATTAGGACGCATGACTTCAAGTAGCAGGAATCCAACTAACTACAGCCAGAACGTCTGGGCTCTTTTGGAAGAATGCAGCTGATCCTCGGTCATAATGGAATCAGGAACACGAAACCTGCAGGACTCTCTCTCTCAGTTCCTGCCTCCACTTGGCTTTGTTGATTTTCTTCTCTCTTACCTTAATCCAACTTCCATCGTATATCAGAAAAAGTATCCATTGGCAGCGCCTGACCTTTTTTGTCATCTAACAGTTTCTGTTACTGGAGATGGACTGCTTCTTTCGTATGAAGGCAAAACAAAACGATAACAAATCTTCACAGGCAAAGGTACAGACTGACCCAGTTTAAGAGTCTGCGCTGCCTACATCGTCAGTTGGGACCAGGAAAATGGAATTAGTTAGATAAAGGCAGGTCTCATGGGAACAATATGGATGGATCAGAAAAGGAAGCGTACTAAACAAAATAGTCCCCTGCCCAAAGCAGAATGACAGAGAGCAGGTCTCAGAAGACATTAAGAATACCACAGGTATAAAGTCTTTTTGACTCAACCATACGCAAACTATGAACATAAATTTCAGGACTCAAGAATCTTCCATGTTGATAACAGTAATCTCTCTGAGAATATTTCAAGGGGATATTCACTGTTAAGGCTGAGTATTTGGCATCTACGATGTGCTCAGCGCTGAGCTAGGTGCTCTGCTGTGTACAGAACTACAGGCTGTGGTTCCTATGTTCAAAGACCTAACAAGTGACTGGGGTTAAGGATTGAGTAGCATTCTAAGAACCATTTTAAATGTAAGTATATAGAAGATTAGCCCTTATCAATGATCTAATTTACAAATACATCTCACATCAAGTTTAAATTAAAATTAGCTTCTCAACAAATTTCTCAATGGTTCAGAAATAGCCCAGGCTGAAGAAATCTGTATTCACTTGTTTATTCATTTATTCGCTCACAAGCCCTTCTTAAGTACTCACCATTGCTTTAGACACTCTGCAAGGTAATAAACGGGGTCGAATCACAGTTCCTGTCCCTCAAATTTCTTAACCGCTGTTCTTTCTGCTTGAAATATTCTTCATCTCACTCCCATCTCCCCTTCTAGTTAACTCTTGTCCATATTTGTAGAAATTAGCCTTCCTTGACTCTCTTGGCTAGTTTAAAACACTTTGCTGTATGCTCCCATAGCATCCTGGGGGCTTTCCTCTTGGAAACTTATCAGACTTGTAATTTTTCACCCTACGCGTGTCTTCTTTAGTAGAGCAAGAGCCCCATGAGGATAAGGTCATCCATGTTTTATTCACTACGATACCTAAAATAGTGTCTCAAAAGCAGCCAAGATGAAATAAATATTCATTAATTTGGCAGATATTTATTGAGCATTTGTGTGTTCAGCATTGTTCTTGGCACTGAGGATACAAAAGAGGAAAAAATAGTAGACATGGTCCCTTCCTTGAAGGAGCTTGCATATTAGTCAAAGTGTTGATTTAATGATAGAGGAGTATCTAACTCAAACTCCTTATTTCTCAGGTGAAAAAATGAATGCCAGAGAGATTAAGTGACTTGAGTCAAGCCATGCAGAGAATTTGAGCGGCACAGATTGTTGCTGTTTTTCAAATTTCCTCTTACATACTGCTTCCCAATACAAATTTCACAACCACAGGTGGATGTGTGAACCCCTGTTTATTCAGTCCATGACTGCCCACAGGACGTTGAGGGCATCACGAGCTGAGTGAGTGGAGACAGACATGCAGAGCACATGACTTGTACGTGCACAGAATGGTAAGGCAGTACAGGCAGACAGCTTTGGTGATTTCTCGACCAATTCTCTCACGGCCCCTACAAGAGTGACCATCATGTCCTTTATTGTTGCTCGTGGAGCCTTGGCATCTGGAGTTCCTGGGAAAGTGAAGATGTTGATGTCAATGGCAGTCATGTTGTTAGGATTGTCAGGAACTGCTAAAGAAGAGCTCAGTCCTGAGCAGGGAGTTGCAGGAAGGGGCTAACATGGATCATTTTTGAGAAAATAGAAGGGCTTTTCAGGAGAGGGTGTATAAGAAAGGCAAGGGAATTTTATAACAGGAGTGTATGAACAGCAAAGAAATAGCTCACTAGAGTAGGGGAATAGTGAAAAATATTGAATAATGAATAGTGAAAAAATGAATAGTGAAAAATAACATGTGATAGGTATTGGGGACTGTGCTGGAATTGAGTCCTTGGAAATGGGAGAAATGGCTGTTTCCAAGAATGGAGAGAGAAACAGGTTCTAATTAATCCAAACTACTTCTTAAATTTAGAGCCAGCGAGGACTCCCGTTGGAACTCTGCTGGGGTTCTTTCTTGAAGTTTGAGGAATTGCCCTAGAAGGGTATGGAGAAACCTCACCCATTCACATTTACACTACAGAAGCCAGTCTCTGGACAGGCTGTTACATGTCAGGTTATCGCATGTGTCTCCCCAGCTCAAAATGCACCCCCAGCCCCACAAGCTGAACTGACAGGTCAGTGCAAACACATAGCCTAAAGCCAACTGTCGCCCTCGCCGTTTCCACCCAGGGAACGGTAGAGCCTGTGCATGACTCTCTGTGACTCTGCTATCATTGGAGGCCAACTGACTCAGAAATCTGACTCATTTCACTCAGAAAATCTGCAAGCTGCTGAGTCATTTAATCAGAAAGAACCTCAATCCAGAATAACAACCTTTTTTAAAAGCAGCAACTTTTAATGATGTGAGCAGAAATCTTTTGGCACTTCAAAGAAATGTTCTACCGACGGCTGTTTGCTAAGCCTGCTTCTGTTATGGAGAGGGAGAAAAATATTATTTTCCTGTCTGTAAACGATGTGTGCATTTGGGAATGAGTTGTAGCAGGCTTGAGGATGCGTGGGGAGAAGAGAAGTCAGAGAAGGCTGTGCATACAAACATCTGTAAAGAAAATGTTTTATTTAAAGTGTTAAATACCATCACCAGAATGAATTTGATTTACATTAGTTGGTGTTCATTACAGGACTAATCTGCCCACTTTTTTTTCGCAACTGGAATTCCCTTTACTTTGAAAACATACTATGTACAGGGCAGCAATGGTCACTGGAATAGTACTATTTACATGACTAAACCACAAGTCGAGGTGCAGACATGTGAAAATTAAAAAAAAATACACCAACTTTTAAATAAATACTGCATAATGACAAGTATGTACAAATATTCCATACACTCATGTCCTTCTTATTAAAATTAGAAATAATTTATATAGGAATATGCACAAAAGATTATGTGACTGCATCTTAGTATCAGGAAAATGGTAAACGTTTATTCTAAGGGAGAGTATAGACACTATAGGTCTATTAAATCAATTGTTGCTGGTACACAAGTGTCTAAATTATTTCCATGAAGTTTTATTCGTTCTTTAACGACTTTACCTGGGTCCATCATAGATCTCAGAATGTCAAGACACAGTCTCGGTGTATTTCATATTGCACCACATAAAGAGAAGGCATTTTTAGTGATACTCATTTTAACTTTTGCACCATAGCAAACATGATAATTTTTAATGGTCAGTACTGAATTTAAAAGGAAAAAAAAAAGAAAGCAATTTTTGTGCATGGCCTTAATTTAAACGAACGATGTGTATGTGGATTTCACAAGTTATTATAAGAAATCAAAATCAGCTAACGATGTGTCATCAACGTGTACATAAAGAAACAGAAAGTATGTGTGGTTTCTTCCATTAACCAGTGACTTTTCCTCTAACTAGGGGAACTTAAGAGAAATTTGACCTTGCAGCACCACCCAATGGTAACAACTGTCTGTAAAACCAAAGGCAGGGGTTTGACTTCAGGGGATTTTGTGTGTAGACTTTTGGTGATGGCATCAAAGAACTGTTAATAGGCAGATTGACTTTCTTTGAGTCACCTAAAAATTGGAGCTTTAAAATTATTTGTTGCAAATTTATGTTTACTATATTTCTTTAGAAATATAATTTGTGAAAAATTGAATTTTACTACAGAAAAATGAATTAATAAACAGCCCTGTGTTTCAGGGCTCCAAATTTTTAGCAGTGTTTCTATTCACATAGTAAATGGAAATTGACTAAAGAAACTGCTTTAATTAATTAAAAAACAAAACCTAAGACCTTCTAGAAATAATACTTTAACCCCTGTATGAATAATGCTGGTGCTAAAAACAAATTTATTAGACATTACAATGGCCACATGATTTTAGGATTTTCCTGTAAACTGAACTTTGAAGGTGAAAATAAAATTACCATGCACTGTACAATAAATTGCAAAAGTTCAAATATCTTCTTTATCAAATACATGCTGACTTACTTTAATGTACTCCCAAGTCATGTTGCAAAATCCTTTCAACATGCTTGAAATAAAGAAAGCTCATAAACAGTTTTTTTTCCCTTGAGAAATTCATAAATTCAGAAGCATCTATGGCTCTGAATCGAACATGGGATATAAGAGAGTATCAGGTCAAAAACTTGTAATTTTTTAGTATAATATTCACTCTGGGAGAGAGAAAGAAAATAGAAGATTAAAAGAGGGAGAGGAGGAAAGTGAGATAGAGGAGAGGAGAAAAGATGTGAACAATTTGCACATATTGAACTTCATAAGATTTGTATATTTAACATGGAAATAAATTGAATATATTATACTTATTTGTCACATAAAGAGAATTTTAAGTATCTTCTAGAAAGTATTTCATTTGTAATGTCTGCCAAAACACAGACTATGGTCAAAGAATAAACATGGTGTATCTTTGTATCACCCTGTTGCATTCTCTCCCCTTTTTAAAACCATGCACTAGTGAAATTTATTTTTAAAAATAATATAAATTGTTGAAAATGGCTGATTTTTATTCTTTTTTTTTGCAAGTTGCAGCCTCAAGAAAATAATTTAAATATTCAGCTAATCTGTGTCCATGCAAAAAAAAGTTTCTTTAATTTCATTCAGTACAGTGTAGCCACAGAATTTTGTTTTTCAGAGTCCAACACATCTTGGCATTAGTGCATGACATGCCTGCTGGAGCTGCGAAGTCTACCGCCGTTCACGTTGGACTGACTGCTCCTGGTCACCGGCCAGATGAGGGCTGAGGTTTTGTCCTGGACCACTTCTTGGGTCCCCTGCTTTTTACCTGATGCTTCCTAGGACTTCACTCCTTGACTTGTACCATGGCTTAATGGCTGTATAGCTCCATTTCTGTGGCATAACAGGGCTTTGGGGTCAGAGAAATGAAGAAAAAGGAACGATAAAAATATAAAGGTGCCATTGAAAAGGGCTTTTGTTGCATGAAACTGACTGATTCTTTGAGATTAATCCATGGCTTCAGATTGGACCAAAACTCGAGTAGTATTGAACTCTAAACCTGATAGTTCTTCATAGCTCTGCTCTTTCACCTGAGGGCCTTCTTTAGGGCACAATGTGTGCAACTTCCTCTGAGAACACAGGATCGCTTTGTATCCCTAGAAACAGGCTCAGAAGACACAACATTAAGCATGCAGTGTTACCAGGGTTTGCGACCTGTGATTTTTTTTTTTTGTAACGCTGGTTGCTATGGACAACAGTTTTACAGTTGCTATGAACGAGAGTAAGAAGGTCCAGTTGAACTTTCCAGAGATGACTGGGAAGCTCTTCTTGTCAGAGGGGCCAAGGTTGGATCTACTAGGGAGGAAGGGGGGAAAAGTTTGAACCATCCAATCACCATATTGGATAGCTCCAGTTCATCTAAAAGTATCTGGGCCACTCCCATAAAGGATTTGTGATCCATGCGGCCATAATCTCCCCAGACAATGATCTGTTGGCAAAATAAAAGGGAGAGTAATGTCAGTATAATCATGTACCTAAGAACTTGTAAGGCTAAAATACATTCAGTTAAGGGGCTGACATCAAACAGCAAATTAAACAGTTGTATTTAATCAGTAGGATAGCCATCTTCATCTACTAGACTCCAAAGGCACACTAGGAGAACTGTGCTGGAGTGTCAAGATCGTAAGCAGTGCAAGGAGACTGGGGTTTACATGTGATGCGGATTGGCAAGTCCATAGCTCACTTTAAAGGAAACAACAGTTCCTATAGCTTTATGGCACTGGGCACTGTTTTGAAGTTTCCTAAGCGGTTCAGCTGTGAGGAACAGAAAAGAATAAGAAAAGATAATAGGGAAAGATGTTGGGTATAAGGTTTGACTCCATGAAAATACTTTCTTAGGTAGGGGATAAACAATTCAGCAAATACCTGTAAAACTTTTCCTTGGGGACTCTCTTCGAAAGATAATAGCTGCTGGTAAAGTGGTTCCAGCGTTTTTCTTGCCACTTTTGTTTTCTTTTTGGCTATGCAGACTCCATTATCTAATAGATACACCTTTACATATGGTGCTTAGGAAAGAAAACACAGAGGAGAGTCAGGTGATGGGCGATGGTCTTGGAACACCCAACTCACGGGTGACAACTGCCACAGCTTAGTTTTAGGCTGAAAGGACTAGCAATCCAAAGTTATGGCCTTTCCACATCATGTCACAATCGTTAGGCAAACAGAGGACTATCAGCCATTCAGGTAGTTTTAGGCAATGTTGACCAGCCTCTGAGTTGATCACTGATTTGCCATGAACTGATTATGGAGATTTGAACACTTGCACTAAATAAGGTGAAATGCTTCCAGTCCCTAAAAATATTCAAGAGTGATGTCTTACTCAGGTTTTCATTTATCAATACTTAAATCTAATTAAACATGCTTGAAACTATATTGTTTTACTCACCAGCCCCATAAATCATTTATTTATCACTCAAAAGGGTTTGTTTATTGGTGGTGGTGTGGGTACAAGACACAGTGGGGTTTGATGTAATTAGCTAGAAAGAGGCAACTAATTATGAATTCCATGGCTTGAAATTTATCTGACAGACTCTTCATAAAAGCATTCAATGCATATACAAATCACCATATTCTTTATAACAGAGCGGTTGACTAGCTCCAGGACCTTTATAAACACAATTGTCTTAATCACCCTGCAAGGTTGTACAATAGGTAATATACATGATAATTTAGAACTGCCGCAAGGATAGAGTGGTTAAGAGATTCAAAATTACAATTCAGTCAGTAGGGGTGCTAAAGCTAGAAACCAAGTTTCAGAATCCTCAGTAATTCTTCTCTATTATACCTCAGATCCAATGTTCTATACATCTCTGCACAATGCATCTGGAGTTTGTGGCATTTTCCATGGCTCCAAACACTTTAGATTATAACAACATTTCAGTACAAAATATGCGACATCACGATAAAAATTTATAATGGTGCCTCTCTTTCTTCATATGCTACAGGAAGTAAAAGTCTTTATATTTGGAATATCCTGCATACATAGGCTTATGCTACTTTGGGGGCCTGTGTCTATTTTTATTCTAATTCCAGAGCTTTAAGGATTCCCAAGGAAAATTTTGAGGCTCCAGATAATCTGAAGAAAAACATAAAATACCAGCTAAGAAGAGAAAGAACTTTCTATGTACATGTTGTACAAAATGAATTATCTAAGTATGGCAGTTTTTATTTTGCAGGGGTTTCTACTATTTATGTACTTATTCAACTGCTTAAATTATCCCCACCACACTACTGTCATTGAATACTCACTCAGGATAAACAATAAACTACTACAGATAATTGACTCATTTATTAGTATTCTTGATTATTTGAAAACAAAGTTTTCAGCATTGAACTAAAAACAAAGTCTCTAAATTGCAAAATGTGGATTATGAACAATAATAGTAGAAGCTCTTCTGTTTTTACCTGGCAGTGTCTTGGAACCTGGTTTTACAACAAGGCCACGGGCACGAATGATTTCCACCTCCAACTGTCCCTTTTTGTCCATCATTCCTACCTGAATGTCACCTAATGGTGTGTGAGGAAGAAACAAGCAGCTCTTAATATACAAATGCAGTGGGAAAAATGCTTGTGTCAAAGACCTTGGTTTAACATCATTACATCATTTCCCATATATTTTCTTAAATTAAAATATACTTAAAATTTTATCAGTGGTATCTTACTTTAAAGAGCACATAAATTGAGATGGAAAAAATTAGTTCAAGATTTTTTATTGTTAAAATCTAAGATAGTCATTCCTGCTGATAGTACTATTAAAGATCCTATGAAATTTAGAGAATGTAATTTTCAATTATCTAAAAGAAAAACAATGAAATCACGTGACAGAAATTCTTACCCATTGCAGGTGTAGCCAGAGTCTGGCGCCCTACTAGCTGGGCAGGGCCAAGGCCATCCAGAAAATCGCTGAACTGGCTATCAGAGGCCAAGCGGACACCAGGGAAAATCAGACTAAAAGCAAAATAACATATGGGATTAAACCCTCAACTCCTGCGAACTTTCAGGTAGCCAGGTTACCCTCTAGCCTCTTCCTGTAGCAGGAACAGTAGGTACTACTATTTTGCCACTTATCTTAATCGGATCCCAACACTGCACTCCAGCCCCCACGGCCCTCCCTCCATATTCCCTAACAGCCCACGAATGCCACCAGAAGCACCTGTCACACTGTACTGCAGGCTTTGGTTTATGTGCCTTTCCTTGGTCTGGAGGGCAGGGACAGTGATTTCTATCAACGGCACTCAGGACATATTGAGCACGTACTCCATGACAAACACCATCATACTGAATCCTCTTAGCCGCACTATGAGATAGATTCTGTTATTTAACCTATCTATAGATGAGGAAACTCTTCCAGATCATTTCTCTCAGCACACACACACGTTGTTATTTCTTCCACCTTAAAAAAAAATCCCTCTCCTAACTCCACTTCTTTCTCCAGCTACCATCCCATTTCTCTCCTTGAAACTCCTTGAAAGAATTGTCTCTATATGCTATCTTCAATTTCCTCTCATTCTCTCTTGAAACCAATCAGTTTTTCCTTGCTCTCTTCCTTGCTTTATTTTTCTCCACTCCACCAAGATTCTCTGATCAAGGTGGCCCAAGGATCACAGTAGTAAATCCAACTGTTAATACTTGGAATTCATTTAATATTAGCATCGTTTGACTCAATTAATCCTTCCCTCCTCCCTGAAACACTTTCTTCACTTTGCTTTCCAAACTTTCTAGTCTTCTGGTTTTCTTCTTTTGCCAATCTACCTCAGTCTCCTTTGCTAATTCTGCTGCTAAATATTGGGAGCTCAACCATTTGTCCTCTTACCTTGTCTATATGTGTGAATTCCCTTGGTAATCTCATCCAGTCTCATGATTTTAAATGCCATCCACGATATTATCTAGATTCACATCTCCAGCTTGGACCTCTCCGTTGGGCCACAGACTCGCATTCTTACTGCTTCATCTACATATCTGCTTGGACGTCTAACAGGAACTTGAAACTTAACTTGTCCCAATATCACTCTCAACCCCCATACAAACAAAAAACAAACTCTGTCCCTGTCAGAAGATTCCATCTTAATAAATGGCAACTTCATTCTTTCACTTGCTCAACCTTGGAGTTATCTTTCCTCTTTGTTACAGACTGAATTGTGTCCCTCCCAAATTCGTATGTTCAAACATTAACCCTCAGGATGACTGTATTTGGAGATGGAGCCTTTAAAGTGGTAATTAAGGTTAAATGAAGTCATAATCTAATGACTTAATTAGATTATGGGGCCATAATCTAATACAGCTGGTGTTCTTATAAGAAGAGGAAGAGACACCAGGAGCATTGCACACACAGAGGAAAGGCCACGTGAGGACACAGTGAGAAGACAGCCATCTGCAAACCAAGGAGAGAGGCCTCAGGAGAAACCAAACCTCCTGACACTTTGATCTTGGACTTCTAGCCTCCAGAACTATGAAAAAATTAATTTCTGTTGTTTAAGCCACCCAGTCTGTGGTATTTTGTCTTGGCAGCCCTAGCAAACTAATACACTCCTTTCTCTCATTACTCACATCAAATGCATCAATAAATCTTATTGGCTCTCAGTCAAAATACATCCAGAATCTGACCTCACTAAGGCCAGCATCATTTTCTATCTTCTGTCTTACTGCAGCAGCCTTCTGAATGACCTCCCTGTTGCCACCTTTACTCTCCACCCCCACAGCAATCAGAGTGAGCTGTTAAAACTGAAGTCAGAGAATGGTAGGCCTCCGCTCAAAATCCTTCAATGGTTTCTCATCCCTCTCAAGGCAAAAGTAAAGTCCTTATGACGATATGTAAAGACGATGCAAGCTGCCTCCCCTTGGCCCCCATATCTTAACTCCTAGGCTGTTACTACTCCTGCCCTTACCCCTCAGTGCTGCCCTTCTCACTGCTGATGCCTAGCAGGCTCCTGCCTCAGGGCCTCCACAGTGCTTCAGCCTGGAATGTTCTTCCCTCACATATCCATATGCTTACCAAATTCCTTCAGATCTTTACTCAATGTGTCCTTTTCCCCGGCTACCCTACAAAAACCCTACCCTTGCCCTCTATCTTTTTTCTCCTTAGCACTTGTACTACCTAATCTACTAAATATTTTACCAATTTTTCTAATATATACATTTTAACAACTTTTCATGTTTACCATCTAGCTTTTCTATTGGATTGTAAGTTTGGTGAGAGTAGATTTTTTGTGTTTGTTTCTGTTTTGTTCACTGACACATCTCTAGCACCCAGAACCATGCCTGGAATGTTGTAAGCACTAAATAAATGCCTGTCAAGCTCAATCAACTAATTAAAACAAAGCTTAGAACAGTTAAATAACTTGCCCAAGGTGCTACAGTACCAAAAAACAGATGAGAACTTAAGCTGTATGATTCTAAAGCCCACGGTCATGACCACCAACTGATTTTGGCTCCATTGTATGACTTATATCCCCGACTCATAGCACAGTGCTGAGAACACTGGAAGGTATGGGAAAATTTATTGACTGAATTCATAAGTATTCACTGGAAAAATGTTTCCAGTGAGACTATAAACATCTGGAGGGCAGGGGCCACAGTTTAAACATTTTTATATCCCTAACAGTATCTAATATAGTGCTCTGCAATGATAAGTGCTTAGTGCTCATTTATTTTTTACATGATTCTCTATCTCTTTTAAGACTTCCTTGATGAAAATCAAACCTATTTCTTTCCTCAAACTTAATTTCCAAATATTAAGTTAATCCAAACATTTTAATGTTTCCAAGTTAATGCATCCCATATAACCTGATTTATAAATGTATGGAAACCATAAACAACTCTTGTATTTATATAATTGTGCCTGACAAATTATCCTCAGGGCATATCATCAATACTCTGCCAGCAGCTCCCATCGTCTCACATCTGTGAACTGGCTACACGTATGTTGTCTAAACATCTGCTGCTTCCATGGTGATGACGGAGTGGGGTCAGTTAACCCCACTTTCCTCTATTAATTTCCTTTACATATCCGTCTATGGATCTGCAGTTGCTAATTACTGTTAATTTGTTGATGATGACAGGGCTATATGATCTTTACAAATGCTTTAAAAATATCTCAGATGCACTTGATTCAAGGGAAAGCTATGTTATAACTCCATAAAGGAAAGGCTCACCAACTTTCTCTGTGGTGTTTCTTATTGGCTATTACATTTATCTGAACTATTTTTTACTGCATGGAACTAAATATGTATCAGTATTCGATATTTTTTAGTAATAACTCTTAAAGACTTTGAAAATCAGCATTGTTCATGTGGTGTGGCATGAGTGCTTATTATTTTTTGTGTTTTTATGTATTATTTCTAGGTAAGGCAAGCTATTTGTTTTGCATGTATTGTGACAGTCACATTTTAGCATCTTGCCGTTAAAGTGAAACACTTTATCCCCAAACCTATGTCTCTTGATATAAAAAGTCAGATATGTCACATTGTTCAGTGGCAGGTGAGCAAAAGTTCTCTTCACAGCAAATCAGACCGCAAAAATGAAAACGGTGCTGTCGAGTGTGAGCTAACTTTTGTGAAAGCAAAGAGACAGAGACAGAGAAGATGGTCTCCGCAGGCTCGGAAGAGACGCCTATCCCCGCCAGCCTCACTCACTTTCCTTCTGAGCTGTAGCTGTTCATGCTGCCATCTGTAGATTCTCGGCTTGCCTGTCGAGTCATCCAGTTCCTCATTTCCACAGCCAGGCCTGTTTCTGTACTTCTCTGGACAGTGCTCCGAAGCTTTTTACCTCCCGCTTCTGCACAAACAGAAAACAGAAAGGATGAGAGCTTTGTCATCACCATCTGGCAACAAGGAATATCAGCCAAAGCTTTGAGGTCCTCAGATGAAGAGAACTGCATAGATACAAATGCTCTTATTAAGGAGACAGAGAGAAAAGGTATTTCAAACAACGTCTTGTTGAGTGGGATGAAAATTTTCTAAAAAATCTTTGGGAAGCACAAAATACCATTGTTTTATTTCCATTTAAAACAGTGTTCAAATTGGTAACAAAAGGAACAAAAAGGTTCAAACTAAAGAAAATAAAAAGCTTTGTTTTCATTGTAATATTTGAATGCAAGATTAATTTATGCCTGTCTTTTTCTTTTTTCTTTCTTTTTGTCATGGTGAAAGAACTAGGCCTTCTTATTATTTCCAAAGAACAAGAGGTGAGTAATCCTCAATTCTAGTCTTAACTTTCACACGAAAACCTGTTTTTGTGGGGTGATTGATATTAGAAGGCAAAGAAAACTATACAAAGGAGACAGCCCTGTTTGATAAGTTTCACATTTATTGGTAACTTTCAGAGAGATTCTCAAAGGGAATGCAAAAACCCAACAATGCCATGTGAAGAGAGCTTTTTAATTTTTGGTCCTGGATAGTCATGTCAAGGATCTTCAACAGTTTGCGTGTGAGGTATACTTACAGAAATCAGTTAGAAGACTGGAAACTGCGTCAAGTACTACAGACGTGACAGAGGCACAAGTGCTATCTGGAGAGGTCAGGGAGGAAGGAGCTTCAGAGATGCAGTGGGATTTGAGCTGGGCTTGAAAAATCAGCAGATTGGGACCCAAGAAGAGGCAAGAAGAGAGTGTTTTTGGCAAGGGAAAGAGCTTGGACAAAGGTGTGAAGCTGGGAATGACCATGAGCGGTTGAGGGATGGTGCAAATAACCAAAACATATGGAGGAGGCTGCGGTGGGTCAGACAAGAAACTGAGTCCCAATTACAAAGGGCTTTGCATGCTGAAACATGGAGTTGAGAAACTACTAAAGCTGGAGCAACAGGGTGACAGTCCCAAAGTATCTGTATTAATTTACTTCTTGTCAGGCCAAAGCATTTATATACATTGACTATGCATATTATTAGCTTTGGGGGATATGGTAAGCTCTTTTAGTGCCTGGTATTAATAATTTAATTTTAGATTAATAAATATTTGTTGATATTGCCAGTGACTTGTTGAAATCCCTTTCACCAAGCCTCTTAAAATATTTTCTCACCATTTTGAAACACTGCTTTAAATTTCATCTGTTCTCCACTTCCAACTTTAATGTACATCAAAGTGCTTTGAAAAAGTATATATAAATATAAGTTATGACTGACCTACAGTGCAGTTCCAAAATCTAAGCCTAACATTTTAGATAATTGATAATAAACATGTTGTACTGATATGAACTAGAAGATGATATAAAGCATCCCCATCAATGAGGAAAAGCTATTCTTTACAGAGGAATGTCAGTTAATAAATGTAAAAGCAATGATAAAATTTTTAAATTACCAATTTGCAACCTCCAGTGGAACAAACGATTTAAATAAGGTACACCAATGGATGCTAACACCATTAGATAAAAGGATATTCAAATGAGCCAAGATATCACCCCACAAATTAGTTCTACTTGTTAAAGGAAGACATGCACTTTAACACTGGGAGACGGGGCTATCATCATCTTAATCAAGTGATCAAATTTAGTAACACTAATATGGGACAATCATATGTACCTCCTGATATAAAATACACAGCATCACCTATTAAGTTGTTCTGGAGAAAAATATACAATTATTTCTAATCAGGCCTTTGGAACGAACTTCTAGTTTTCAAAAATACAGAGGATAGAGTAATGGGGTAAATGACGCAATTAAAAAAAAAATCCAGACAAACCAGGAACTTGGGATTTTGTTCAAGAGAATTGTCCTAGTCTCTTAAAAAAAGTTAATATTGGGCCAGTCCTGAAGGCCTAGTGGTTAAGTTCAGCACACTCTGCTTTGGCAGCCTAGGTTTGGTTCCTGGGCATATACCTACACCTCTGGTCAATGCCGTGCTGGTGGGGCTCACATACAAAAAGAGGAAGACTGGCAACAGATGTTAGCTCAGGGTGAATCTTCCTCAGAAAGAAAAAAAGAAAGAAAGAAAAAAGAAAAAAAGAGAAAAATTTAAGCAAATAAACTAACAAAATGAGGGAAATGTTCCAGATTAAAAAAATATTCCAGAGATGTGGAATTTAATGGTTATTAAATGCTATGAGTATAATTCGATCAGTTTCTTTTTGGGAAAAAAGAAAACAAGAAATTCTAAAAGCAAAACACTCTAAAAGCAATTTTAGGACAAGTAGGGAAAATTTGAAGATGGATTAGATATTAGATGGGATAAGAAAATTATTAATTTTCTTAGGTAGATAATGGCAAGTATTATAAAAAATTTCCTTATCATTAGGAGAAACATGTTAAAGTATTTAGACCTGAAATGCTATATTGTCTGCAACTTATTTTCAAATGTTAGAGCAAAAAGTACACATATACATAAAACAAAGAGGATAAAAATTAAAATTAAAAAAAGGATGGGGATGAAGAGTAGAACTCGGTATTCATAAATTTAATATTTATGATTTTATATGAGAATGACCCCCAAATGGCCACATCAAAAAGTAATAGAATTCTGTCCAGGTGTGAACTGGAATCATGGAAGGTGGTAGCTGGTGTGAGGGAGCGAGACCAAGGGCTGCGTCCTGGCCTTCCATGCAGCATTACTGTTCACTTCCTGTGAAGAATGCGCATGTGAAAAAAAACCATCAAGAGAGACAGACAACTTCAGTGAAATCTGAAAATGTGGAATGAGTATATATACGGGAAACATATACTTTTCAAAGGAAATGAGATTCCTAAAGGTCTCAGGACATAGCCTTTGCAATGTCAAAGATCTATTGTTTTTCATTTAATGTCTGATTCTATCACATCACAAGTGACTTGAAAATCTGCTCTGATAGGGTGATGAGAACCAGCCACCATCTGTCAAAGAATAACAATACAATGAGCATGTAATCCTTTTGTTTACCGATTGCTTTTTACACGCATCCTCTTCAGAACAACTCTAACAATCCTCACTTTATACATACAACATGGAAGGACCCCAGCGGGTTACACAATTCCCTGAAGCCACGTAGAAAGTGATAGAACTAGAGTTTGTACATAGTTCCTTGACTCCAAATTCTTTGCTATCCACTGATTTGTTGTCAGAATATAATCAATGGGTAGCTTGGGCAGCTGTCTATGCTAACGCTGTAACTGCATATAAGAGGCCCTGTTAGAAGCAGCTCGTGGGTGGAAAGAGCAGAGCACAGTGAAGAGGTCAGGCTGTGGCATCAAACTGCTTCTCTTTGACTCCCCCAATCATGTACCAGCTGGGTGACACTCAGCAAGTTACTTTACCCTGTGACTCAGTTTTCTCAAACTGTCAAATGGCAATGATAACAATGCCTACCTCGTAGGGTTTTTGTGAGGATTAAGGAAAATAATATATTTAAAGTGCTTAGGCTACTGCCTGATATCTAGCAAATCTTCACCTAATGATACTGTTATTATTATTATTACCATAAGATAGGGGATCAGAAAACATGTATTCTAGGCTGATCTCTACCACTAACTAGCTGGCTCTGTGGCTTCTCTGAGTCATAGTCCTCTCTGAGTCTCTGGTTCCTCATTTACAAAAGACAGGAGGGGGGAGGGTGAGAGATGATCTCTGTTCTTTTTTAGCTTTAAAGTCTATGAGTTTGTGTCATTAGTGTATGAGCAAGACCATGATTAACACCAGACATTGAGGAGATAGTGCTACTCATTGCCATCTGATGGAATCGAAGAATTCTAGGTCATATGCGGAGCATTTATGATAGTTCTTTAAAATATGTCTTTTAAAATATACTTATATCTGATACATTTATAGATATTTAAAAACAAATGTATTTTTCAGTGCCACAAATCCTTTGCATCACAATCACAATAATACTAATTTAATCTAAATATAATTCATGATGGAGATTCACATTTAATGTTCCAAATCTCTGCCATGTTATTCAACCTAAAAACTGAATCTATATAACAGTGAATATCTATATGAGGTAAGTGTGGTAGGCAGAATTGTAAGATGACCCCCATGATTATGTTACTTTACAGGGCAAAAGGGGTTTTGCATATGTAATTAAGGTTATCAATCAGTTGACCTAAAGATAAGAAGATTATCTGCGTGGGCCTAATGTATACACATGAGCTTTTTAAAAGCAGAATGCTTTCTCTGGCTGGTTCCAGAAGAGTCAATCAGGGAGAGCTGAAGCCAAGAAGGATTCAGTGTACAAAGTCTTGAAGACGAGGGGACCATGTGGCAAGGACCTGAGATCAGCCTCCAGCTGCTGAGAGCGATATCTGGCTGACAGGCAGCAGAACGGGGACCTCAGGCCTACAACTGCAAGGAAGTGGATTCTGCCAACAACCTGAATGACCCTGGAAGCAGATTCTTCCCCAGAGGCTCCAGATAAGAAATCAGCCCAGCCGACACCTTGATTTCAGCCATGGGATACCCTAAGCAGAAAACCCAGCCCTGTCATGCCAGATGTGTGACCTACAGAACTTGAACTAATAAACAGGTGTTGTTTTAAGCTGCTAAATTTGTGGTAATTGTTAAGCAGCAATAGGCAGTTTTTTAGATAACTTTTTTAACAGGGAGATCTAGAAAAATAACCTATTGTGACCATAGGAATGGACCAACTGAAATTATCTGTAAGAACTTAACAGCTGTGTTAAAAAAAAGGTGCATATTTTTAAAAAAGAATATATATACATGTATACACTATATCATATACATATACATGTACAATATATATGTGTGTGTGTGTATCAAGATGTTTAAAAGTACTCAGGTAGCAAACTATAGAACTAAGGTCCAAATTACATTGCTATAGAACCCTTAAACTACTCCATCCAATGTTAGGCATTTT